ATAGTTGACTAATTAGGAGAGTATCTTTGTTTATTATATTCTTATCATAGTTGACTAATTAGGAGAGTATCTCTGTTTATTATATTCTTATCATAGTTGACTAATTAGGAGAGTATCTTGTTTTATTATATTCTTATCATAGCTGACTAATTAGGAGAGTATCTCTGATTTACTACATTCATTCACAGCTGACCAGTATATGGGTTTTGTTATTTTTCTATCACAGCTAACTCTTTAAATTAGTTGTAATTGTGTACAGTGCAATCACAACTAATTTAAAGTGTATGTATTTTTATTATATTTTAAATTTAGCTGAATATTTATGAGAGAACATATATATATATATTGTTTGAACTCTTAAGTTTTTTTATTGCTGGTAATTTGCATTTGTTCACTTAAAATTGTGTTGCTTTCATTTCATTGAAAACATATAAATATTTACAAAAATTATATGTACACACACTTACCTTCTCACATACTCAAAGATAATGTGTATAAAATGTATTATCCAGTGGTTGTTTTATTCTTAAGATGAAGTTTGTTTTACCAGTTTTGTAGTATAGCAGCCACATTTCAGATTTTCTAGGTGAAAAATTTATTTTATTTTTTATGTTTGGATTTAGGTTAATTACAATTTTATGTATGTGTGGGGTTGTATGTACACTTACTTATTTCAGTGTGAAGGTAAAAGAAACCTAGGTTGAGGCTATAGAAGATCAATCATTTTAGCTGAATGAACATGCAATTCCTCAAGTTCAAAACTTGAAAATGAATGATTGAAATGGTCTTACATTTACATACACATAATAATAATTAAAAATAATAATACATATTGAAGAAACTCAGAAGTGATTACAATTTTTAAGATACTTCTTAAGTCAGCATCATACACTTATCTTATAATGTTTTATCATCTGTCTCTCATTGTTTCTTTATTGTGTTTAGGTTTGATGGAACATCTAATTATATTATTACACTCTAGCTAATATTTCTGTGTCCAACTAGCATTTTTCTTTAATTAAAAAAACTAAATAATTTTCCTTCTAATGCTTTTAAAAGGTTGTGGTAATTTTTTTATCTTTAGGAACAAGGCATTCTCCAAATACATTTTCTATGTTTATGTTACTGTGCTGCACCTAAATTTATCTCGGGGATGGATACCACTGAGGCCACAAAAGTTTTTATGGGCTATAGCAGATTGTGTAATTCAATCATTAAATTCAGAAATATTAAAAACAGTATATTAACAAACAGTTTTGTAACATGTTTTGAGTGTGCAGCATGCCATTCACTTGAAATGCATATATAAAATCTAAAGTTTAATTATTTTACTGCGATTTACTTGCATTGTAAATATATATGTGACTTTCGTGAAAATACTTTATAAAAATGAAACTAGTTGATGAAATAGTTTTAAATTTTATTTGAACGGTCCTAAGTTATGTACTTTCAGAAAAATAAAATATTTAATTTTAATTTTTTCTTCTATTTATTATAATAAAACATTCTTTATTTTATCTGAATAGTTTACATGCAATGTGATTTCTATTTTGAGTGTAAAAATACTATTTCTTATCTCCCAGTTTTCACACTTCATTTGTATAAAGGTATGTAATGTTTGGCAAGTATTTCTCACCTTATATGTATTAGTTTGCTAAACAGTGAGATTGCGTTTAGGTTTTACATTTATATCTTAATTAATTATTTATGTAAATATTTGTGTTTTAAAATGCATATTTGAAATGTTTATGATTTTTATACATTTAACTTGTTGTAGTTTGGCTTACCAAAATGTCTAAGCAAGATAGCATCATTTGCGTGCATGAGTGTAAATTTTTGGAATTTGTGCATGAGACTCACCATATAATAACAACAGAGCACCACATGGGACATATTGTGGACCTTGGGATAATGAATAAAAGACAAAGAATTGGAAAGGAAAATTAAAAATAAACTACAAGTGAAAAGATAAAGATGTGATATTATAGATATGACAAAAAAGAAATTTGAAAACTATTCTTCACAAATTTAAAACATATGTACTTACTACTATTTCTTAATTTTAAACATTTTATTGTACGTTGATGATGATATCTGGAGTTAATGATATAATAGAGAAAATAGAAAACAAAATATAAACATTTACCTTAAAATACTTTTAATAATCATTTAGGAGGTTCTAGAGATCTCAAGAGAATAATGGACTAAGCTTATTTTCTATTTCATACTACATATCCATACAGAGGTAGAGGTTTCTTCAGGCTATAACTTAATAGTGCAAAATCTGCTCTTTCTATTGGTTAAAAACATGTCATTCAAATTTAAAGTGTTGCTTGACAACACAGTCTTGACTTTGCAAGTGGGTGTGGCTGACATTAAACTTAGAAATATTAGACTGTTGTTTCATTGTTGGAAGTTCCCCCCCAGCTAATGAGAGACAGCTGGAATTGTACTTTGGCCATCTATGCTGACAGTCTATATTAGGAACTCGTAGTTTCTTGTGTAAGACCTCTTAAGCTTGAGAATTTTAACCACAGTGGATCACGTGACAGCATAAACTATAGTTTTAATTGCTGTTTCAGATTTTACTTTTTAAAATAAAGGAATAAAACTTAGATAATATAAAACCTTAAATTATAACATACTTGATAATAGTAATTTCATTACAATACATTTATAGAAAAGTGGTTTAATTCAATTTTGAATTTAACTCGGTAATTCTCATGACATGAGCAGAAAGAGGTTTAAAGGTTCATAAAGTTCAAAGGGTTAAGCAACATTGGCAAATTAACAAAACTGTTGTTTGTCATACCTTGATTAGTTTACCAAATTAGAAAGTTTTTTTAGTGTATTGATTTGATATGCAGTGGTTAATGTAACTTTTTATTTGTCATACTATGACGAGCTAATGAATGAAGAACTTCGATTAGTGTACTCTTTTGTATTAGTAGATGGTGACTTGAGTTACCTGTCAAACCATGATGAATCTCTGTTCATGAACTTAGTCTGTGAAGTTATACATAAAAATGTTTATATATAATTGTGAAATGTTTGTTTATCTTCACCAAAATTGCAGCTTTTTAATAAACTTTCAAGTCTGACATACACAATAAGTCAGATTTTTTAATAAATATTTTTACTAAAGATTTGACTGTCAATTTTTGAATCCTTTACTGAGTCAACCTGAGTTAAAGTTGATTTCATGCTAAGAATAAAAATACTTTGTTTCATCTTATTGTTTTCATATTCATAATTTCTAGAACATTGTACATGAATATCGATAGTTTTTGGTAAACAATGTTTTATCTTCCCTAACATTAACTGTAGTGAAATCATCAGTGAAACGTTGAAAAATATGAAGTTAAAATAATAATAATAAAAAATTTTCTACTCCAATGACTGCAGAATTTATTGGAACTTTCCAAATTACTTATCAGCTTTAACTGTTAACCTTTTAACATCTTCTTTCTTTTAATTTTATGGCTTTATTGCCATACTGTGTACCATAGGAGGGTTAATCCCCACTATTGAAAGTATATAATCACAGTGTGAGCTCACTTACTATTTCCTGTAGAGCTATTGTTGCACAATGTTCACTCAAGATCATGGAATTTTACTTGCTTTATTTGACTGAAATTTTGCTAGGCTAGGATCAGAGGTTTCTAAGTTTTATGTCTTAGTTACTTTAGTTAAAAAATAGATGGCAGAAAAAATCTATATCTATCTATACATATATATACACACATAAAAACAAGGATTTAGAATATTTACTGTGTAAATGAGCTTGTTTGCACTTGAGTAAAAGCTTCATCGAGTCTTACATATTTAGATATTCAAAAAAGAATTCATGCTGCTTTCATATTTGCATTTTTGAACACTTAAAAACATATCGGACACTAAAATAAAATCTCCCAAACTACTATAATTTATCTGGTTTTCTAAGTAAGCTGCAAATAGGTTTGAAAAATTCTACTAGATGTTTGGAGGAGGAATACAATGTTTTCATACAAAAAAAAGATAAACTATCATTCTATGGATACTGAAATCAAGTAACTGTAACAAGCTTTACATAGAAGAGAACCTGTTTGTTATAAACATGTCCATCAGCCTTTTAAAGTTGATCAGCAAACAATGTTGAAAGTCAGATAGAGAGAGGGGAGGGGTTTCTCTGGTGGTTTTGAAAAATATATTTATGATTTAGCAAATTATTTTTTTCTTGCTTGTAATTGTGTATCATTTGTGTTTCTAATTGGTTGGAAGCCTATTACTGAAGTCAGAAAATTCTTACGTTGAGAATTCCGAGCTCAGATGCATCGTGTCGCAGAAGAATGAAAATTTTTTAAATGATTCTTTTTTTTTAAATTAAGAAGTAAAAAGTTAAAAATTATAAAAATATGAATTATAAACTACAGTTTCAATCTAAGTTTATCGGCATACTTTGATAGTAAAGTTTTTAATCAGATTTCGAATGTAACACTGTAAAAGGCCATGATATGTGCAACAGAGCCAGGCCTAGGTGTGAAGGGCTAATGATTGAGAAAGTTTGATTGATGTACTGTTTTGTATTTGTTGGTGGTGAATGTGAATTCTTTTACTTTATTGTTGTGTATCAGTAAAATCATATACAAGCATTTTATATTATCTATTAAGTGGCCATTTTATTGACCACCACCAACAGTAACTTGTTACATGATGTTGGACAAACAGTGCTATAGTAGGAAAGAAGACATTTATCAGAAGTAGCTTCTTTACAGAATTTAGTGAAGAGAGTGCTGGTTCATAACAGTCTTGTTTCAAAACTAATGATTGCATTACTTTTTCTAAAGGGTTTAGCTTATAATAAGCATATGGTTAAAAAGTTTATTTAAAGTTTAAATAAGGAACTATTTGTTTAACTTGCATGTCCTGGTTTTTTTGAAAGCATTATAATTGTTTCAGTATATGCAGATGAAATTAATAAGTTTCTGTTCAATTTATTAATTTTAAATCTTTGTACTGTTATTTGTTAGGTCTGCCCACAAGACTGAAGTTTATTGGATGTTTAAAGACTGTTTATTTCAATGAGAAGAATATTCTATATGGTCTTCATGAAAGTGATTATGCTGTCAAGTATCACAGTATTTTCCCACCAGAATATGGGTGTGAACCTGTTACAGTGATTCCCATGACATTTCCTTTCTTGGAGTCGCATCTGGCTCTGGAACAGCCAAGTCGTAAAAACTTGCAGTTGTCACTGGAGTTTAAGACCAAGCAGTTTGAAGCTGTCATTGCAAGTGCTTACATCAAAACTGAGAGGGGTTTAGGTTATTGGGAAGTAAGTACGAATGTGTGAATTATTTATCTATACTGTACCAGCTAAAAGTTAATCATCTCCAAAATAAAACTTTAAGGTAGGAAGGATAAATCTTGGTTTAGTTTGATTCTTTGCTATAGAAGTGTAATTCTAATAGTTATGTTAATTCAAGCATGTGCAACGAAGTATATTGAAAAACTATTCAGCTCCTCCATGAACTAATAGGTCTGAATATGTTTTTTTTTGGATTTGTTGAATATTAATTTTAAAAGTTAATATGACATGGTATATGCCTAAAACGTTAATCATAGAAACATAAACACACACACATACTTTCATTAAACTTTTAAAGCTATAAATATTTTCTTTTCAAATAAATATACAAAATGATTCGAGTTGCAGTTATTATCTAAACCTATAGAACACCAAATCAGGAGGTTCAGTCTTGTGTTTTTTTGCTTCGTTGTTGTGTAGTGTAGCGTTATGTGAAGGGTGGAATTCACAAAAGACAGTCTAACCCAATGACAAGTAGTGAATTGATCGGTAGACTGTGCTTCATGATTCTTTTTCACTAAGTGTTTTTGATGTTGAGAGAAATAATTACATTGTACTGTTTAAAAAAAATCATGGAACCATGTATACACCTGGCATAGTCCCTGTGGTTCAAGAAGCCATCTATATGCTTGGCACATAGTCCCTGTTCTTGTATGTTAATTAGGGCATTATGATATGACAATCTTGCCAACTTACAGTAAAATATTCAAATTGATTAAAATTGAAGAGGATATTGATGTAATAATAAGAAACAAACACTTATAATGATAAGGGATTGGTTTTTGAGTTTCCTGTATTTTACAGTAAAGGAGTTTCGTATGAAATCTTTTGTTCCTATGTATTTTGAATAAAGTTTATGCTCTTTGAAATAAAATAGATTTATTTGTATTATCTGCTGAAGACCTGTTAATAATAAAATTTTATTGAACTGAAATTATGTATTTACATATTCACAATAAACTATTTATCTACATCGTGATTTCTGTTATTCTAGGTTCGCTTGGCAGAAGAAACTCTGTTTTTCAGCATCGTATCTGATAAGACAAATCCCCAAAACAAATGGATAATTAAAGCAGGAAAAAATTTAAATGATCACCAGTGGCACCAAGTTGGAGTTAAATATGATGGCGGGTATATATAAACTTTTATCATTCACTTCAATCGTAGTTAAGTAGGTTAGGGCTGTAACAAAGGGTAGATTTTATGTTTCAAAACGCATTAATAAAGAAAGTTTCAAAGTTTTAATAGTACTAATTAGCATAATTTACTGATGATGTCACCATAAATACTGGTTTGTATTTTATTTGAAACCCTTTTATTTACATGTAATCCATATAAATGGAGTATAACATTTATTTATAGTTTAAACTTACATTTTATAGAACAGTAATCATTCTTAACTAATGTGTTTGTCATTCTACCTAAGATACCTACTGTTTCCAAACTACCTTTATACACCTGCTTACCATATCTTGGAAGACAGAGCTCACTTATCATGAAACAGTTTCAGAAATTATGTAACTCTCACTGTCCTCAAATTGACCTAAAAGTTGCTTTTAAACCTAATTTCAGTCTAAAAATGTTTTTCTGCTACAAAGGTCCTTTGCCAGTTGTCCATTGTTCACATCTTGTACATGTGCAGAGACTATAAAGCCCTTATATTGGTTAAACTAAATGTCATTAAAGTATGAACACGTGAGTGTATTTACAAACCCTCCTAACCCTGCTATCTACCAACACAATACAGAAACAATTTTTCTCAACAGCTAACCATGATACTGAACTTCTAAGAAAACAGAAATTGTACATAAAAACTCTTCTATTTCTAAATAATACACATTCTTTTTAATTTAACTGTTTCATTTGGGCTACATTCTTTTCCTTTTCTCTTGTTCCACTTTTTTGTATTTAAGTTGTTTACTTATTATTTATTACAAATTATATCATATTTCTGGTCTGATTATTATTTTGGTTGCTTTTGTACCTCTAGATTATTAAAGATGGAATTTTGAAGATTTCAAAACATTTAATAAATGCTTCATATTATGTTTGTGTTCTACTTTATTATTAAACAGTAATCACATTGTTTTTTATATTTTAAATAAAAAAAAGTTTATTTTGTATTTGATGCTAAGTGCAATAATCATATAGGTAAATACAGTATACTTGCATTGTAAGAGCTTTCTGTTGTGGCCAATTAAAAGAACTGCAGCTGACTTAAACAAAATAAATCTATTTAACATCACCATTCCAAGCAGATTAACAATCACTCCTTTTAACTTAAAATCTTTGATTAATTGGTGCTCCTTTTTCAGCATTAGAATTGTTAGTTTTAACATATATTTTATGTTTCATGCTTATTCTATCGTAACACTTCTCTTATGTTTTGAATGAGAGACATTCAGTACATTTTTTTGAAGTAATGCAGCTTCTAAAGATATCTCTTGTGCTTCACAATAATAGTCCACTCCAATACATGGGAGTAGCTGCTACATATTTTTTTATTGCAATAACTTTCTTGTGCTTCACCATAATGGTCCACTCCAGTACATGGGAGTAGCTGCTACATATACTTTTTATTACAATAACTTTCTTGTGCTTCACCATAATGGTCCACTCCAATACATGGGAGTAGCTGCTACATATCTTTTTATTACAATAACTTTCTTGTGCTTCACCATAATGGTCCACTCCAATACATGGGAGTAGCTGCTACATATCTTTTTATTACAATAACTTTCTTGTTCTTCACCATAACGGTCCACTCCAATACATGGGAGTAGCTGCTACATATTTTTTTATTACAACAACTTTTGTTTAAGTTATTGTCATTGTGTAAATCAAAATATTGATTTTATGTGAGTGAAATTTAATGTATGGTTACTATACAAACATTGTCAGATAGTTCTTGTTAACAAGAGAAACTAAATCTGACACTGCTTAAAAAGCCACTTGAAGAATTTTGAGTGTTTAAAACTATCTTTGAATTCTTAGCTAAAGAATGAACCTTCAAACACAGACCTAAAAGCTGGTCTTATTTAGTTCTTTTATACGCATTCATTATAAACTTTAGTTAAGGCCTTGAAATCTCAAACTAATTTCAGTGAAAAACTATACCACAGTAATTTATGTTAAAACTATATGACATCTTACCTAAACATACAGTTAACACATTGTTTTCACATAGAATAGAGACTAAAGTATAAAAATTATGTTCAGTCTCAAAATGCTAATATAACAATTTGTTGAAAAAGTAAATCTCTTATATTTATCATAAAACAAAAGTGTTTGGCTTATTGTATTTCTAAATACCACATTCTTTATTCAGTCCCTTGCTTGTTCTAAGAAGAAGTGTGTGTAATAAGATTTCAACCACAATGTCTACCATATGTATTATTGACAAAAGTTTTGCTTGATATCAGAGCTCATTCAGGCCAATTGAAATACAACAAATACAGTAGTGGTTGAAACACTATTTACATAGCTATTTGGTAGAAAAACAATTGTTATGATGTGAATATCTTTTGCAAGCAAAATATGGCTATAATCAATTATATTTGTGATATAACAATTAAGATTAGTGTATTTTTAACACCTTTCACATGAGCCAGCCCAGCATCTTTTAGCTGAGCCTAGGATGGTCAACATTGGGGGGATATTTTGATAGATCTCATAACTTCTAAAATGAAAAAAAACTAAATATTAATGAAAATATGACACGATGAAATCAGTATGGATTATACTATGGTGGTACCATACTGGGAATTATACCATCCTTCTTATATTTAGTCTTCATTGTAGAAATGACATTTTTAATTTGAGAATTGTTAAGGAAATAATATTGTAATGCATCATGTATCTGCGTCAACTACAACACTGCCTCTTTGGGCTGTACTGTACCATTAATTTCACAAAATATTGAAACAAATAAGTTATTATATATGAAGTTAATAATACTGTTGTGCCAGGTTTTTTATGTTTTACTGCAGTAATCAGTTGACATATTTCCAATTCAGCTGGTATGTCAAATCGATTGGGATATCTTTGAATACGTTCTATCATCATCCAACCTGAAACCACAATTTTTTTTATATATATATATATCCACATCAAAATGCTTGGCTGGCTTGTGTGGCAGGTGTTTAAATATTATTTTCTTTGTTTTTTGAGAAGGGTGTGTAATATTATTTCAATCACACTATGTATCCCATGTTGGCTAGGGAATTTTACTGCCCTAGAATGTTTATTTACAATCTACGCTACCTGAATGTAACATTAAAATGCAACGAAAGTAATACAATTGAAAGTAAATTGGTCTAAATTATAGTTAGTTAACATTTAGAACTGTATAAATCAGTAGTTCTCAATTCTTATTTTTTTCCCCCACAAACCACCTGATTTTTTTCTAATATTGGTGCACCAGATTTGGATCTAAACATTATGTTACCACTTCATTTTCATAACTATGCAATCAGCCCCCTAGTGGCAGAGCGGTATGTCTACGGACTTACAATGCTAGAATCCGGGTTTTGATACCCGTGGTGGGCATAGCACAGGTATCCCATTGTGCTTAATTACAAACAAACAAACTACAAACCGTAGGTTGAGAACTACTGGTTTAGATGCTTAGTTTTCTGTCTTTCTGATTAGAATATGATTTGGTACTACCTTATAACCTTGGCTTTTAAAACCTTCACTTTGTTCATATACAGTCCTTCTAGTCTTATTTTTGAACAGGTACTATCCTGTATACTGCTTGAGTATTTTCAAATCTAATTTAGGGAGATTCATCTGACTGTAGACTACCAAAAGGCTGTGCTTGGTACGTACACACTCCCTCTTGAATTCCTAGATGAACTGTTTTTAGCTGGGAATCCAAAAAATCCAAAAATAGGTAAGATTTTAATATATATTACATAAAAGAATTCATTAGTTACTGCAAATGAGGAATCACAAACTTTGTTCTTTACATAAGAGTAGAAAAACATATTTACTGTTGAACATTTTATTCATCTGCAGGGTGACATTCTTGTTGCCTAGATACAAGGTACAGTTGTGGTTTCTTTTTGTAAAGGTCGATCAGTATACAGTGTAGGAATTAAAATGTTTGAATGTAATTTCTCATGGACTAAATATCTGCTGTCATTGATATTTTACACAACAGGGCACAATACAACAATTGGATATAAATATGTATATATAGAAAAAAAGCATAGTAAACATTAAAATAAGTGTGTCAGAACAGATCACAGTTCAATAATAAAATATAAATGTATCAGAACAGAGCAGTAATAAAATATACCTATACCGGACAGAGGACAGTACAATAAAATATGTATCTATTAGAAAATATTGTATTTATTACAGTCATGTCCAGGTGACATGATGGTAGGTGACACATTTATGTTTCCATGGAAAGAAAGAAGCAAAATTAATTTATATATATATATATATAGTGTGATAACTTTATTACGGTTCTTAGATGAGTTTTCTTCTTAATCAAAAGTGTTTCTTTCTATTTTTACTCTTAAAGATTTTCATAATTTACACATATTCGAGTTTTAATGGTTGTCATGTAGGTAATCCATGACACTGTACTGGTTTTATGCTGTGGCTTCTTTTTATGTGGTATTTCTAATGTCATTAACTTATTCACAAAATATTTTTTTTTTTGTGATGGATAACCAGTTTTTTCAACAAGCTGTAGGACGCTGTGCACATTGTATTTTTCATGCAATGTTTTTACTTGAACAACTATTAACAAAACCACTGTCTTTAGGTTAGCATTTTTTTCAACTTACAAGTTTGCTGTAATTTAAAAACAGAGTGAACAAATAGCTCTTTTTTTTTAAACATTTTCCAGGTTTCTGAATTACCTGAATGTTAAGTCCTGAATTTTTGATAGCTCTTTTGAAATTTGAGCTGCAAAAATTGTCATCTGTATAAAGTACAGTCCAAATGGAACTCATTCTTACATGATCTTGTTTGGAGATGGATTTGTGTAATCTCCATTACAATCATATTGATTAAAAGTCTTTTTGATGTAGTTAAGAGCATACTCGTTTTTTGAAGACATTATTTAATTATTTTACTGGCTTTAGTAATACAATAAGAGGGTGAAAAAATTGTTCAAATGAGAAATTTAAATAATAACTTACTTAAACAATATGAGGGTGAATAAACTGATACAGTTAGGAAGTTAAGCAGAACCTGCATACAATGGAAAGATGAAGAACCTGAGAAATAAGAAAGTAAAATAATACCTTGTTTAAACAATAGAAGGGTGAAGAAACCAACAATGTTAAAATAAAAATAATACTTTGTTTAAACAATAGAAGGGTGAAGAAACCAACAATGTCAAAGTAAAAATAATACTTTGTTTAAACAATAGAAGGGTGAAGAAACCAACAATGTCAAAGTAAAAATAATACTTTGTTTAAACAATAGAAGTGTGAAGAAACCAACAATGTCAAAGTAAAAATAATACTTTGTTTAAACAATAGAAGGGTGAAGAAACCAACAATGTCAAAGTAAAAATAATACTTTGTTTAAACAATAGAAGGGTGAAGAAACCAACAATGTCAAAGTAAAAAT